TACAACTTTTGCACAGTACTTTATGTATTTATTATTTTACTAGGCTTATATGTTACTCCAATTTATTGATGGACTAGAGTGGGACTGTTTACTGATGGACTTGGCTGTTATCCCTACCATGCGGTAACAGGATTAAAAGAACAAAAAAAAATAGAGCCAGATTAAAAACAAACATGAACATCCATGAATTTAATACAGTAATAACAAAATATTCCTATGCCAAGGAACCATAAAAACCCAGAAAGTTGTATACTCATATCCCGCTCAAAGTCCTGTTGATTTTGATTGCTTTCCTAAATCTCCGGAATGTTGGAGCAAGTTGAATTTTTTGGTTTTCCTGTATGTAATGCTTTGCATTAAGAGTTTCTCTGTGGCTATGGATAAACTTTTGTTTGCCTTTCGAAACATGGAGTATAACTAAACTATTATGTTTAGTAAATGAAATTAGCAAATGCTGAAAGCTGGCAAAGATGACAACTGAAGACATCTGATGTTTCCTCATATAAAGTACACATACTACTTAGAATACTTTCTCAGAATGATATTTGTTAAAACATTTTTTTTCAATGTTTCAATCTGGACAGCGTGACTTAATGAACATTAAGCTCTGCTGTGTCTCAGCCGAAATGTTATTTACATATAAGAGTTTATTTATTAACTATACTTTGCACTTCAAGATTTGGGTATATATAAGTAAACTCCTTATTTCTCTTAGATGTCTCTTAGAGGTCCAGCTCCACTAACAGTGGTACATCTGTCTGGAGATCAGGTCCAGGGAGTCATTCATACAGCTCAGACCTCCTCCGTGATTCACTCACCACAAGGGCAATCAATACAGGTACATTGTTCACATCCATATGTAGCTTATTTTCACATTTTTCTAAATGTTTGCATTTATACACTTTAGCCTATCATTTAAAAAAGTAAAGTCTCCCTCAAATCAAGCTTGACTTCTGGTGAGTTCATGGACAAATTCATGTAATTCGTGGACAAATTCATGTAATTGCAGCAGTATAGAAATGAAACTTAAATAGCAGAAGTTATTGGTGATTAACTGTGTTATTTATAAAAGTGAACATTTATTTATAACAATATTTCTATGAACCCTACTTAAGTAACTCAAAGCAGTTTATGTAAAAGAAGAAAATAAAACCATAAGAAGAACTGAACATAATACAGTAATAATTACAAATATGGCCCAGGTCCATCAGAACAAGATGGTTTTGACTGCTTTATGAAATATAAGCACAGCAGGGGCTCCTCAGGGTACATGTATTCCATAATTCGGGGGGAGGGGGGGCTGTCACTAAGAAAGTTTACCTCCAGGCTCCTACTCCTTTTATCACACACTGGGAGGGGACTCAGAACAGCCCCTCTTGGGGTGCTGGCATACAAAGTGCTAATTCTGGTTGGAAGACACAATCCTGCAAGTACAAGGTACCAAGTCATGAAGAGGTTTAAGGTTTAAACCCATCAGCTTGATTTGGGCCCAGGAACATGTTGGTAACCATTACAGCAGCCTCAGTGTACGTGTTAACAGTGCTTAACCTACTTCCTCCAATCAGTAGTCGGGGCACTGCATTTTGCAGCTACTGCCACTTTTGAGTTGCCTCCAAGGCAACTAGGTGCTAAATAAACTTAAGAAACAAAAACTAATTCATCCTTGCTCTTGGGCTACAACTGTATACCTTTTTAACTAAATAAAATAAAAAAGGGAAAGGAAAGAAATTTATTGATTAAAACAGGATACACACACATAAACACACACATTTCATATAATGTTTGGAAGATACAGAATAACTATCAGGTCCAGTTCACATTGTTCAGGACAAATACAAATAATTTGCATTTATAAAGCATCTGGGAGTGGTCATTCCCAAGTAGGTCAATTAATTAATAATTAAAATGCAAGTAAAGTCATCTAGCTCTTGGCAGACTACACTCATAAAATGTAACACAACAAAGTTTAAAAAAAGACAATGCAAATTCATTATAAAAATTAAAATAAACAATACATTTTGATAATGAACAATCACTTTGAATTGTACCAGACACTTATTAGAAGCCAGCACAGTGTTCACAGTATAGATGTCACATGGTTCTAATGGCTCTCACCTGCCAACACATAGACAGCTGCATTGTGCATCAATTGCAGTTTCCAGGTAGCCTCATGTATAGCACATTAGAGTTGTCTACCCTTCTAGCAGTAGTTGTGAGCCCAAGAAAACACCCAAGTCACGGGCCTGATCCTTCAAGGAAAGTGCCACCTTATCCAAAGTAACTACAGGATCAGACAGAGCCAGATAGTTTCTTAGCATATAGCAATCTGTTTTGTTTGGATTCAACCTCAACTTGTTTTATTCCATCCAGACCTTCACAGCCTTCATGCATTGAGGCAAGAATTCCATGGCATTTCTGGGCTGGCCTGGGGTGCTGCTGTATAACTGGATATATGTTCACATACTTATGATCTTCACCTCAGTCCAACAGACGACCTCTCCCACTTGCCATATGTAAATGTTAAACCATAGTGATGAGAAAACTAATCCCTTGGAATACCACACGGGAGTGCCCAAGGGGCTGACTTTGCTTTTCCCCTTTCTGTTCACTGGAATAGCCTGCTAAGGAAGAAGTGGAATCTCTGTAAAACATTGTCTTGGATTCCCAATCCTTGCAGGCAATCCTGAAAGATACCATGATTGATGATACTAACTGCCACCAAGAGGTTGAGTAGGATCAGGAGGGTGTACCCCCCCCAGTACAAATTCCAACAAAGGTCATCCCAACTGGAAAGAACAAAGCTGTTGCAGTCCCATACTAGGGCCTGAACCCTAGCTGAAGATGGTCCAGATAATCTGCTTACTCTTGGGCATTCTGCAGCTAAAGCCATACCATCTGAGAAGATTGGAGATGGGACAATAGTTATCCAATCTAGCCAGATCCAGAGGAGGCATCTTCAGAAGCACTTCCTGAAGGGCATCCAGAATAATCCCCTTCCCCAAAGAGGCATTGACAACCTCCCAAGCCCAGCTATTCGCAGGAACCAGGAACAGCATGGATCAGAGCTAAAGATGGTGGAGCTCATGCCAGAGAACACTCTGTCCATCAGAGTCTACAAATTGAAATGAATCCCAAATAGCAATACAAGACAGTGTTCTAGTCAACAATTCACACCCTGTGGAGTCCTTGGGGTTCTCTGAGCTCAACTGTGAACTGAACTCCACAGTTCAACCCTGAGCTACACATATTCGCCTCCAATTCACACCCTGCCCTATCACAGGGCTACTACTAGATGATAACCCACTGATACAGTAATGATGGAGAAGTGTGAATGCTTCACCACCATTATTGTCATAGTGTAGACTTGAACGTAAGCTGTTACCCATGTTGGTCAAATTCACTTTTAACCATCCTCCTAAGCACTCTGTGCATTACTTCTGCCTCTTCCAAAACACCACAGTAAGCTACTAAGCACTTCAAGATCTGCCAACAGATAGGCTGCATAGAAGCAATGGCTTCAAGCATTCTGGCCACCTCCTGACCCCATCATTCAAGCAAGCACTCAACAGAATTGCCTGTCAGATTGCTCAGAAAATACCCAAATCTCCCTCACCCCCCAAAATCTTCTAACTCCAGAAGGTGACTAGATCATCCTAGAAGTTCCTTGCAGAAGCCCCAGATGAAATCCTGAGCTCTGCAAACTCCATCCCTAGAATATGGATGTTGAAATCCCCCAGTATTAACTAGAGCAACTCCAGTGCCAGTCCTATGACAATATTTAGCAGCTCAGAAAGGAATCCTGCTGGACAGCAGGGTGATTGGTGCATGAGCAGGATTCTCAACCTATCTTTGCAGCCCAACTAATGCATGAACATTCATGCTCCGTCAGCTCCAGAACAGGAGCAAAATATCCTCCATTGCTAAAGGAGATTCTTGGGCAGTGTGAGCTCTCTGCTATATTTAGGCATTTTAATGTCACACTTTGAGTAAGTGTCAGTAACTTCCAATCTGTTTAGCTACAGTTAAAGCAAAGGAGAGCCGGTCTGGTGTAGTGGTTAAGACAGCAGGTTAGAAACCGGAAGACTGTGAGTTCTGGTCCTGCCTTCGGCATGAAGTCATCTGTGTGACCTTGGGCCAGTCCCTCTCTCTCAGCCCTAGGAAGCAGACAATGGCAAACTGCTTCTGAAATCTTGCCAAGAAAACTGCAGGGACTTTCCAGGCAGTCGCCAGGAGTCAACACTGGCTCGA